TCTTATTCACTCTGCAACTAATAGGCTTATCTTGAATATTCTTCTGTGAAGACTTGCCTTCTAAGCCAACACAGTTCTCTGTCGTAATAAGGTAGCCAAAACATAAAACATGAACAAATTACTAAAGACTCGTGATAAACTTTCAGATGTAATTCATTAAAGTAAATCTGTACTACATGATTTCTAAAACATGTAATGCAATACAGATCGTGTAAAATTTAAATTTGTACTACATATTTCTTCTGAAAACAAGAACTTAATTGTAGAAACACCATTTTTTTCTTCTGTCGACTACAGAAAAGCTTTTGAATATAGCCTAACCCAGAATTAAAAAATACTCTCTCGACATTAGAGACAAGATACTAACATATATTCTAGGAAATTGATTTAAATAATTACAGGATATAGGTGAGATTACTTTTTTCTAAAGTATACATCTTCTTAATAAATATGATTCCTCTTCCATTTAATTTTAATTTTATTTAAAACATATTATTTTCAGCAAACAAATGAAAAAAACTTAAGTGAATATGTCTTAAGAGATCCATTAATAAACACTTTTCTCATACTTGGAATCAAATCTCGGCGTGACTGCATACATGTTTCCGTGGTTCTTCAGGATGCCATGACACTATCATGAAAGACGATCAGTCTTCTTTGGAAAGACCTCCACGAAAGCATCCACCTCTTATAGCCTCTTTGTATAATAAATAAAAGGAGTGATAAAAAATTTAAAAGTTTCAAAATGAAATAGAGAAAATTATTATTTGAATTAATGCCAATGCAAACTAATTCAATAAAAGGCTAAATAATAATAACAATAGTTAAATATAAAGAAAAATGTAAAAAGTGAAATATTTTTTATGATTTTATTCTATTTTATACTAAACTGATTTTTAAGGTTATGACAGCTGAGATTGTATGGTGAATATATTTATTTGCCAGTCTCTTAGACCGCTATTTTTCATTTTGTTTCTGTTGATTAGTTTGATATGTTCTGTTGTAAGCTTGCAAATAAAATGATCTGTGCGTTTCTTACTACTAATACATGGATGATAAATATCTCTAAATTGCCTTCTTAAATGTATACTTTCAAAAAGTAGGGCATTTTCGCGACTTTTCTGATCATTTTTGTAAGCATTATATGAAAAGATGAACGGAATAACTACAGATAATAATAATTCTTTCAGCTATCGTATTTAAAACTCTAGAATGCACCAAATACTTAAAACGAAGAAACGATCCTGGATACAAGCAAATAAAATTATCCTTCTTGTTTTCTATTTCTGTTTTCTCTCCATCCCAAGGAGGGTGAAGACCTTCCTAAATAGACTTCAAATTTTATAAAATCGAACGCACGTGGGATCATATTTCTCCATTGTTAATGTAAATTTCTCTATAGTTGGAAACATTTCTAAAATATTCATAAAACGTTCTGAAACCCAAATTTAGAATATCATTCCTGTTGCCCGATTTTATTTGAGTAGTGCTTTGCTTAAAGAAAATCATTTCTTTCCCGAGTGATGGAAAATGATCAAAATCCGTAAAAAAAAAAAATAAAAACGTGCCACCTAAAAATATTAAGCATTTCATGTTCTTTTGCAAAAAATATCAACGATTTAGAAATATATATATGTATATAAAATATCAAATACCATAACTGCTTGACTGCAAACACTTCGATACCTCATAACTTTCAATGAAGTCATTTTTTAAATTAGTCACTTGTATTTCTCTGTCGCTTTATTCCATAATTTAGATAAAATGCATATATATTTCGGTTTTCAAAAAAGGTTACAATTATTTACTTCTTAGAATTATTAAAGCATAATTTTGAGCTTATTCCATATTTTAAGCCTTAACAGGCACAATTATTTACAAATACATCCAATATTGGATTAAAGGTGGAAATTAGAGTCTAGCAATCAGTAAATGGAGTTCTCGCCGAGTCGAAGTTATTAGTTGGGTACGAGGGAAATTATCTTGGGACCACTTTGATTTCTTATCTGTGCCAACAGCAATGATGACGACCATGTGCTGCATGTTAAGTAAATTTGTAGATGACGTCAAGGTCATGTCAAGTGCGAATAACTAAGAAAATCCCAGGAAATTATTTTCCTAAACTCATAAGGAGAATTTATCTTGATGAGAGCAACGTATGGAGCACTTTTTCTATTTATTTCCTGAATTTCCGATAGCTAATTTTCATATCTAGAAGTTACGTACGCACAATAAAAAAAATAATAATAAATAAATAAATAAAAAACAGGAAACTAACAATGACTGAAGTAAAGTCGAGACAATTATAAGTTAGGGAATAATTTGGAAATATCTAGTAGAAGGTTACAGAAGGAGACAAAATGTGTAGTTTGGTGATGAGAACTGAAGCTTTTAATTTACTTTTAAAAACTATCTTCAAGATAAATCAAAGTAATAATTTTAAAAAATAAAATGAAAAACTTATACAGTACAATCCGGACGTCCATTATCCGGAATGATCTATAATCCGGACCTCAAAGCCACAAACTTGCGCATGCGCGTTTGATGCGCTTCCGCTACGCATGCGCGTATAGCCAGTATAGCGTCACACATGCGCGCTTCCGATAATGAAGAAAGTTACAGAGAGGTTATTGAAAACGAAAAAATTTCGATTGACAAGTTAGTCGGTATTCTCGACACAGCAATTATAGGATTTGAACAGTGGAACTTTGTAACTGAACAAGAAATTATGTCTGCTTATAGAAGAGAGAATTAAAGAGAACGAATTAGCACAAAAAACGAAGCAACTTAAACAACTTACATTGAAAGAAATGTTTAATAAAGTAAACAAATAAATATTAAGCTTTTTCTTTTTGTAAATTTTGATACTCTTTAGATCATAATTGCTCTTTATTTCATAAATCACGGTTTCATATTTTTAATTGTATAATTTCTGCATGCCATCTTTGCAGATTTAATGTGATGATCTATAATCCGAAAAAACCCCTAATCCGGAATCGCCTAGGTCCCGACGAGTCCGGATTACGGACTTTGTACTGTATATGATATTTGAACTCACCGAACTTGGTCTAAAACGGTATTAATGCTCCTTGCTGGAAATACAGTCGGACATCGATTGTAGAGTCATTAGGTTTATTTTGAAGAAGGAGGCGGGAAAATGCACAGTGCCTTTCCCGGGACCCGAGCCCTGGAACTACCGAATACGTGTCGAATATGCCTCCAATTAAACCACGAAGGCAAGCGGAAAAAAGAAGAAACTACCTCACATATTCCTCTTTTTAAAAGGAGACTGGGGATAATATGCTTATTTTATATCGGGCATCAACTGAACTAATTGATTAGAGGACATAATCGCCAAATCCTGATGGGTACAAATTATCGTTCACCACCATTTTTTACTTCGGGTGCCACTTAAATAAAGTGATTAAAGAGACATGAAAAATGTGCAATGCCTTCGGCAGGGATTCGAACCCTGGATCTCTCGAATATGCTTCCAATTACACCACGAAGATATGCGGAAAGGAGGGAGAAAGTACCTTATAAGTTTATACCCATATAACTTTTAGATTTTTTAATATCAATAGTTACTGCGAAAGTTTTTATTATTACTGCGAAATGTTTTGATTTTTACTATAGAATATTTACTATGAAAGTAATGAGTTTAGCGAAAGTTTGGGTAAACAGCCAGAAGTTGCACTTTCAACTTAATAATAGCGTCTAGGTGATACTAATCAGAACTCAAAGTGCCGCCAGTAGCCGAGCAGATAAGACCGTTAAATAATTCGACTTGAATCTGACTGTCGGTGAAAGATACGACTATAAGAGGGTATATTGTTTGCAAAGTGTAGTGTTAATATGAACCCATCCATTAAAATGTTCTTCACGAAGACATATCGGTCTGACACTAAACAGTCTTCATATATTTGTCTTAATACATTAAACATAACAGTATAGTAAATGCCCGTGAATGCTTCGCAATTATACTGGGATACTGAAATTCTGTTAGGCTGTTTATACAGATTGACTATATACTATAATTTCTTTAATTTTGATTTATTAGTACAATAAATTATTTACATATGTACATCCAGCGCAGACCAGAAGATCGAAATATATTACCAGTTGTACTCGTAACTATCCACAGAGGAGTGAAATACGCCAAAGTAAAACAAAGAATTAGGTAAAGCAGCAACTTTGTGTTTGGCGTTGATTTCAATTAAGATTCTATCGATTTCGAGGGCGAACAGGTACAGCTATCTCTTCATAAGGAGCAAAGAAATTTTTCAAAGAAGGAAAGAGCCAACGGTCGTAAAACAAACAACACGGTAGTGCCATCTGTCGATATAAAAAGTAAAGAAAAATGAAAAATTAAGTTAGTAGAGTTTTAAAAGCGTTAGAAAGGATTAGATTGAATTAAAGTCATTAACTAGACAAGGTAAATCTTTATGAATGCGAAGAACTTCAAGTAAAGCCAAATAACTAACTGACGAAGCTTTATGGATAATTTTTTTCAGATCTAAATTCAAAACTGTGATTAAATTTCCAACTATAGTTAACTATCGAAGATTTGATGATTTTTGGAATCTCAAAGCTGAAAGCTTTGGAGATAAATTTCCTGGATAAGAATGGATTTTCCATCACAGTTGATATTCCAGATAATTCATTTTACAGACAGATTTTCACTGCTTCGTCGGCACATTATTCAGATTCCAAAAAAAAACATCAGCAACCATATTATAGAGCTTTTAAGTATTTTTATTTTCTTCTAATCTATATATCGAAGTAGTTACTTTGACTGCCTAGGGGTATATAAAATATTTATATTGGAAAGAACATTTGTGGGCATTTCATAATTTTAAGAGGCATTTCATTGTGAGTAGTAAATAGAATTATCAGTAGTAGATAGAATTGATTTTATTTAGTGTATAATGGGTATTCAATGAAAGGTTTAACATGGCAATTCTTAACGACAACTGCATCAAATGTGATTCTTATTTCAGATTTGCACTCAGTATTTCCTTTATGATGAAGCTCCTTCTCATCTTCTACTGTGTTTTTGCTGCCTCGGCTGCTTTTCTTCTGCCACCAGTGAGTATTTTTGCAATGCCATTATCCATGCATCTTACCATTTGAAGAATTACATTCAGTTTCATAGAAAATGTGATTAGTAAACATTCTTGTTTAAAGGTTTTTTGCATGTTACATATATGCACGTATTCCTTCACTTACGGATAAAAATAATTTCGTTTATATTCTTTTTATGATACTTTTAATGATATATAATTTTCAGCTTATAGATACTCCTACTCCTTCTTTGCACCTTGACACCTTACTCGGATTAAAGAAACTTCTACTTGCACCTTGGGTAATGACTTCAATTTTCTGTGGTGGTAAATTCAACATCACTTGTAAAGATTTTCACTAAGCATTTTCACATGCACTAAACTTCAATTTTTTTAATTCATTTTCATTTATTTCTACTCAAATAAGCATCCGTGATGAAGATTATTTATTTCTTAATTATTGTTTCTTAAAATATGTACCTGCAACAAATAAAAATAAATTGAGAATATTTTATTATCCTCTTACCAAAAAGCTGTATATAAAGCAAACATAAATAATTTAGAAACTGTCATTGTTAATCATATATATTAATAAATAGCTGACTTGTTTTATTAGTGCAATCATTTTTATTTCATAAAATTAATTTTCTGTCCTACCACGGAAATCTTGACGATGAGCACAAACACCAAGACGTAATTCAAGCCAGTATATTTACCAAAAAGATACAAGATGCTAAGGATCATTCCCTTTCAAAATATCCTTTTTTACCTCCTTCACACCACACATAGGAAATACATGCATACTGTTGTAAAATTACACTTACATAAATAATTTAATTGAAATTGTCTGTGAAATTATACAGTTTCTTGTGTAATGTAATATGAAATGCCTGAAACAGACGAAGCTGTGCCGGAGAAGCAAAATTACAGGGGCATTGAGGCAAATGGCTACTGGCGATGGCTTTGGCGACTCATTTTTCTCGCCAAATTTGCCGAAAAACCGCCATACGTCACCAAACTTAGCGACCATTTGGTAGCATTTTGATTCGGTTCCTGTATAATTGTAATTGGTACTGTAATTAAATAACTTTAATTGATCCTTATATGTAACTGAAACCGCATCCGGATCTCATATACAATTTCGAGATGTGAAAGATGCTAAAGATATCTCGGCGGACTGGGGAAACTATATAAGACCGCAGAGAGCATCAGTTTCTCAATTGTTCCGTTCATAGCTGACTTTGAGTTTTGAGATATCGTGCGAGGTTTCCTCTTTGGAGGCACTTTGCATTGCGTTGTGTTTAACGCTCTTAGTAGTTTGAAGCGTAAAGACTGATTGTACCCTGTTGATACTGAGAAGAGCTGCACTAGTATTTTTTGTGGAAAGTTCCAAAACTGTAAGGTGTTTATTTTGGTAAAAATAAATTTTATCAGGCTATCATCGGTTCTATGTGCATTCAATCTATTACTCATCTGCACACAATAGTACATTTTATATAGGATTATTATATTGTTCCGTCAAAAAATTCAATAGTGAACAAGCACAAATTAGGGTCCCCGCAACACGTTTCTATTATTTTTACAATAATGTACGTTTGTCTGTGGGTATGTGTGTAATGATATTTTCGACCACGATAATTCTTATATCAAATTTCCAAAAATTTCTGCCTTGCGTATTTAAACTTTCTGCATTCACATAAAACATTCACACTGTGTCTGCATTCCCATACATATAGGGAGTAGATCACATTTGGGGTACAACTGGACAACCGGAAACGGTATTTGACTTGAAGCTCGTGACCGTTTTTAATGAAAACTTATATTAAAATGTACTCCAAAACTTTTCTTTTTAGTCTTTAACACTTTTATATCAATGCCAATGACATATTAGATTTGGGCTAAAATTGATGAAATGGAAGTGGTACTTATCTTGAAGCTCTAAACAGGTTTTCGTGATAAAAATACCTAATGATATAATCAAAAAATTGTCATATTTGGAATTTATACTATTAACTATCTCATTTGTCTGATAGTAACATCAGAACAAGACAACGAAATTCATCGTGGCATGGAATAAAAGAATGCCCCTGCCGTTGGCAAGAGCCTTGAGCACTATACAGATTGACAGTATGACTTTGCTCATTTCCACGCCTAATTTTGATAAAGAGCACCCCGGGTTACTGGTCCGAAGGTCACTTACCCCTATTCTCCTAACGCCAACCTTTCGAGAGAACTTCCGGCTCCCCGTATTTAGAATGCCCCCATGATGCACAGACACTATACATTTACAAACATCCATGCCTTCTCCGGTATTCGAACTCGGGCTTTTCGGTACGACACTCAGCGTCACTAAGTTCTATCCCGGTTGGGCGGCCCGGAAGTGGTAATTTACTTGAAACTCCTAATATATTTATGAGGAAAAATATAGAAAATGCTATAATGAGAATTTAATCTAAAGTGATGCAACATATAATAACGCTATTTGCCTTTCATCTAGACTTGACGGGCACTATATCAAGCCGTAGAGGAGAATGATTTTTAAAGAAGCGTTTTATTTTTGGAATTTCAAAACACATGTAATTCACCTAATGACGTTTTGTCGATATTAACGAGTCACAAGAGCAAATAGCAAATTATGTTTTCTAGCTTTTTTTTATCCCTTGCGTCAAAAGAAGTAAACAAAAAAGTGAACTAAGTTAGGAAAGTAAAGAAATTTTACAACCAATCTAAGTCAACTGGTAAAAGCCCAAAGTACCATATGACATTCATTTGTCTCTTTCTGAACGGGTCTAAATATTTTGTTAGCGATCCAATGAGAGTCTCTCTTTCAGTGGTAGGACAGTATTTATTTACAGAGCAATATTAATAATTCAAAAATGTAATTGTAGTTTAGGTTGCCATCATTTGGAAGACAGAAAGAAACCTTATCAAATATTTGCGTCTATTCAAGCGATCCAGCAAGATATAAGGTAATGTAACAAGTTCTGAAAATTTCTCAATGTTGTGTACATATTTACGCAAACACACCCGGGGAAATGTTTGTACGAATAACAGCAATCTCTTTTTCTTTGCAGCCGAAGTGCTTCCTCTGTCCAAATAGTGCTTACCCAAATATTGTAAGTAAACTTCAAATAACTATACACCACGTTTATTAAATTTAATTTGACTATAAAATGCATTTCATTTAATTATCTCCCAAAAGGTACCTCTGTAAATATTGCTGTACCTTAATGCGAGCTTCAAAGCAAAGTGCAAACAAATTTCGATGTTTTAATAGACTTCCAGTCTTAAATCTGTTAGAAATATGAAGGTAATGATTATCAGAATGTTTTCGCTATGTGCCACGTTATGTTTTCAACAATGAAGTTGAATTGATTGGGGAATCATTTTTCTCAAATGAAGCATGATGTTAAGATACTTTGAAAATAAAAGTAATGAAATGATAATAAAGGCTATTCTGCATCGAAACACGTAATGAGTGATGTTAGAGACATTTATATTTCTGAAATAATGCTACAGATATTCCAAAAAATTACTAATTGGTCATATTATAAATAACACAAATTAAATTCTTCGTAAAATAAATCAAGTAGCTGTATCATTAAAAATAAAGATGTATAACTTATTAAAAACTAACATAATTACAGTTATAATTTAAAAAATAAATGAAACATTTTGTCATATCGAACAACAGCGTTCTGAGATCTACTTATCATTTAAGTCACATAAAAAATGAAAGAATATTAAAAATGCTAGCTTCCGTGCCGATCATGTGACATCTCTTTCTTTTACGACACGAGATCAATTCAATATAATTTATGTACTGTAAAGAGTCATATTTAATACATAATATTAAATATTGTACAGTAGTATCGTAAATATATTATATAAATATAATGCTCGGGAGGAAGCCAGCCAGCGGACCATAGTTTGTCTATCCTTGTTCTATGCAAACACTTTTTGCCTTCCTTTTAGTATTATAAAATCAAAAAAGATTTTTTTCCCACCTTGTCCCACCCCTTATTTTTCGTACATGACCGAACATTTGTCGGTCAAGCATCATTTCAAAATTTAACCCGTGATAAAGGAAAAGCTCCGTCCCAGTTCTGACCGCGCCAGCGGCCGAGCGGTAAAGTCGCTGAACACTGGTAGTTCGGTCCGAGGTTCGAATCCCGCGGACGGCCTGGCTGCATGGGTGTTTTCGTGTTTTTCCCCATGTGTAACGTGTATACGAGCCAGTTTCCCTTAGAAAGTCCACCACGAAGGCCTCCCTCCTCTTAGGCAGATAGCCCTAGTGTGCTTTGCCATAATTAAATACACCAACACCGTCCCAGTTCTGAACAAGAACAGACCGTAGAGCACAACTAAGGATTTCCCATCCTACTTTCTCTTCCAACAACCTTTAGAGAGAATGTTAAGCCTGACGATGTTTTAAGGAGCCCCATGCTGAAAAACATTATACACTTGCAAACACATGCACACTGCACAAAAAAAAAAGGGACAGTTCTATAGCACCCATTCTACTGGACCGATTCACGAAATTCAACTTGCTTTTTTCATGTCTCGAAAGCGCGACTTAGGATATGTATTAGGTTTATATATAGCATTGTTCTAATTTAGGCATTTTGGCACGAAATCGGACTTTTTCTGAAATGACATGCAAAGTTTTTTCATATTTCGATTTTACGACTCAAATTACGTCAAACTGCCAAGTTTTGTAAAAATCGCTCGAGCAGTTTTTAGAAAATTAGTTCTCAAAATTTTAGCACCTAAGTGTCAATTAAATTTGGTATGTATTTATTAATATTTCTTTTTATTAAACTTATTTGATTTTTCCTTTCACATTTCGAAATTTAGGTTCATTCCAAATGAAATTCGTTCATTTTTTATGATGTTTTTTAATTTGTATTTTTAAATAGTTTTTATATATTTTCAGAAAAAATTTTGAATTATAATCTACAAAATGTTTACCATCATTTTAAAGTAGACGTATTTCTAAGCATACCCGCAAAAAACTTGAGTTTTTTATTCAAAATTTCCAAAGATATACGCGAATTTAGATATTGGCGCGTTTTGCAATTTGGCATATTTGTTGAAAGCGATAACAAAATCAAATGTGGTTTAGGCACTTTGTTAAAATTATTTGAAAGTAAGAACAAATTGACATTTTTTACCGTTGATGCGCAATATAAAATGTTAGGAACGATGTGACTTTTGTTCTCTCATGCACAATGGGAGCGAAAGGAAAATAGGTTGCCATATATTAAGAAGTTCGCCACTTAAGTTATTCTTGTCGCAAACTGAAAAAATACGCCAAATTAATTTTTGAATTTCTCCATACATTTCGCACCAAATTTTACAAAATTTTAATTTTAGGCATAATTTGCGTCGTAGAATAGAAATATGGAAAAAAAAAATCGGTATGTTATTTCAGAAAAAGTCCGATTTTGTGTCAAAATACCCATGTTAGAACAGTGCTATATGTAAATCAAATACATATCCTAAGTCGCACTTTTGAGACATGAAAAACGCAATTTGAATTTCGTCAATCGGCCCAGTAGGACGAGAGATATAGAAATGTCGCTCCCCCCCCTTTTTTTTTTCGCAGTGTACCTTATTCGGAATTCGAAGCCGAACCCGTGGCTATCCGATTTCCCTATCATGTCAACAGGATGGCTAATCAAAGTGAATTTCAATTGCAAAGTTGGGTTTTATATTTTAAAATTATATTCTAATAAAATATTCGAAGAAAACAGCTAGGAAGAGTAGCATAAATTAAACATTGATAATAATTATATTACGTCATCCTGCTTAAAATTTTTGCAACATTCTTTTTTTGAAAACATGTGATTGTGACTGCAATATTGTAAGTAAACAACAAAGGTACTATCTTTTAGCTTAATGCAAACGCATACAACTTTATATCCAGTCAAACTAAGTAACATATCTCACTATAAATAACACTGCCGTCATAAATATATTATCTCTAAAGGCTTAGAACTTTTCGTGACTTAAAAACTTTTAAAATAAATAATTTCGGATGGATTTTGTTGCATTTTAATACATTAGAATTAGATAATTGTATTTCATAATGCATTAGCTGACATTTTATTACTTCGTATATACTAATTCATATCAAATATAATTCTCGGAAAAGCATAGTTTTTAAAAGAATTAACAAGACCATTTTTTTTTTTTTTTTTTTAATTTTATGAAATTAATATATCCGTGAGCTGCTTCAGTTACTGTATTCCGCTGTTAACGCACGTGATAAGCTGGCTCTTAACGCCATCTATTGCGAAATTTAAAAATTATTATTCTAAAGCTTTGAGATTATTGCTGTTTTTAATCTTTATTTCCTTTTAAATATCATATTTAATTTAAGCTTTAGAGTTTTTTTTTTTTTTTTTTTTTTTTTTTTTTCTTGTTGTAAACGTCTATGGTTAGAAACTTGAAAAAGGATTCTAAAAGGCATACTGAAATCTGTTTCCTCTCTTATCCTTTCTTAAATTGCATTCTACATCTCTAATTTGTATTTAAGAATGCAGACTGCGTAATTATTTAGCTAAGGGCTACAATAATTTTTTCAAAATGATTCTTGAAAATGCAAAAATGTAGCTAGATCTATATTAACTATTTTTCTTTTATACGATTTTACTCAAACGTTTAAGAAAGACTGCAGAGTCTCACCTCCTTTGTAAGCATACACTAAGACAAGAACTTAGCTCAATGTAAGAGACTTATCACTATATGCAGTAAGAAGACAGAGAATGTAAGAAGAGCGTAAAAGATCTTTTTAGTAAGAACTCAATTAATTTAATAGAAATAACGTTTTGGGCTCATAAAACCAGCCAGCATTTATGGCATAACTCAAATGTAATGAATTCAAATTAAAACTACATTAAATAGTAAGTTAGCCAAAAGCTACACAGAAATGAATAACACACAAGCTGGCTCAAACCAATACCGGCGTGACAAGCACCATTGGCAAGAATAAAACAACGCAGCAGACAGATTGTTATCTTAGAATTTGAACTAGCAACGTAGCCTTCACGCTCTGACTGAATAAACTAAAACCTTCCTTTAAATATTATATCTTTCTATCTCATTTGAATACGCGCAAACTAAAAATTAGCATTCTGACAGGAAAATAGAAAGGGAGTATGACAGTAAAGGTAGTGAACATAAAATAACTGGTTAGATAAAAATAAATAAACTCTTACAATATTAAATAATTAATTTATTAAATTATTACAAAAATATTTTAATTTATGTATAAAACATTCTGTCTGAATGCAAAATTGACTTAGCAATATATATGCAGTTTTATGCAAATGATTTAATCCAAAGTAAAATTCAATAGACAAAGTTGAAGCTGTCTTTAAAAGCGATTTCAAATTAAATGACACAGCGGACATTTAGCATATCACTGCAAGGATATTATACGTTCAATATATAGCGAACTTTAACCAGAATATATTAATTATTGTTATTGTTTTAATTTTAATTAACCAATTTGTACCTTGTTGTTCTCCCAAACCCTTTTATACTTATCAAAATCGGCCTACTTTATTCAATTATACTTGCTGTACCATCTTCATTACCTAAGACAAATCTCAGAAAGTGTTTCACCCAGCAGAAAGATTGCCCCTTTTCTCATATTGCCAAATAGCTTTTTTTTTTTTTTTTTTTTTTTTTTCAGCTAAATATAATTTGTCTTACGTACTTAAACAAGTAAATTAATGTGTAGAGTATACTGACTTGCTGCTTAAGAATAGACACTTTGTTCGTTTGTCTCTACATCAAAGAGGTTTTTTTCAAGTCAATGGAAAAACAAAATTGAGTTTCTGAAATTCTTCGATATGAAATTTTTCACTGTTTACAAGTATGTAAATAATTCTTTTGCTAGAAATGCGTATTATTTCCTTAATTTATTCCTATTTATTTAAACAATAATATTCATAAATATCAGTAGGCGAAAATAAAAACGTTAGTTAGTAAGAAAATAGGTTACTTGTTTCTTTTCTGTATAGACATAATTTAGTTTTTAATAAAGAAACAAAATATTCTGTTGCTTCAAATAATAAGTATTTATATAATGAGAAAACTTTTAGAATTTTATTTCTATAAAATTTAAAATTTAAATTTAATCTGTTTTCTCTTTTCAGTTAAGAGCCTGCGTGGATTCGGTAAGAATACTAATTATTATTTTCCTTTTTTTATTCTTCGTTATGATTGTATTTCAAGTTATTGAATGTAGTTATAGAGTTTCTTTTATATTAAAAAAATTGTAATATTTATTGTATGTTCTTGAATGTAATGAAAAAAATTCTCAAAATTCTTACTTTTTAAATTAAACAAGTCACATTTAATGCATATGTTTGGTATTTGTCAGGTAATTTACAAAATGCAAAATAGATAAATATAAAATGAAATCCTAATGATGCAAAATAAGAAAACAATGAGTTCAAATTTTCTTCGAGCTGCATTACGTAATTTGACAGTCAATTAGATTTTATTGATCCGTTTTATTTTAAATATGCTTTAAAAGTAGATAATTTTTTAATTAAATAATAAAGATTTATAATTTCTCTTGTAAAAGGGATATTGTTGCGTTCTGCAGTTTCGTGGATTTGGAGTAATTGACGATAACACTTGATGAAGAATCAAAACACAATTTATTCGCCATTATTACACAGAAGGGTACTATAGTCGTCAAAAAACTACGATTAAACACTCTGAAACAATCAGCAATACAGCCTTTGGCGTACAATGGTGAAGACAGCTTCACAGCAAAGCACTAAGGTACAGCTCCCAACGCGGGTCGGTCGCTCTCAAGCTAATCACTGAGCTCAAGACAAACTACTGAACTCAACATACAACTCTATTAAGCGTACAGGAAGGGCATATATAGCTTTTGACTTACCTTTCAGAATATTCTAACCACTAAGAATTCGCTTTAGAATGTTCTCGTTGCGTGAACGACATGTCGCCAAATAGGCGATTTCGCGCCAAATCTGGGAACCCTGCTTTTTTGTTCATTTTATGGAAACAATAAACCCGATTTGCGAGCAAACAGCAGCATATTAATTTAAATTTTACAATCTCTTATTAAAATATTAATATAATTTTATCTTAACATGAGATATTTTAAAACATAACTTTTATATACCATTAAAGTTATATATCATCTTTCCTTCTGATTTAGCTGAAAGATACTTCATCGATCTTTCAAATCGATGAAATCAACGAATGAGCAAATAAAATTAGTAAGAAAAATATTTAAATTCAAAACATATATGAGTCTCAAAATATATTTAATTCTGCCTTTTCAATAAACACATTTTTAGCTTCGCATGTGATGACGTTCCATATTTCTTGCTGACTAAATTTTAATTTTTTTCAAACATTCAACTATGTATTATGCTAATTAATAAGATCAAATATTTAAAATAGTATACCATAAAAATGTGCCTTACATAAAAATCATTCATTTAAGGTGCACTTTCCGCAGCGTAAATATATAAGATAAGCAGAATAACCAGATGCTACTCCCTCATGAAAAATTACTCATTTTCTAGCAATTTTTAAAATCTATTAACAAATCCCAATTAAAAATATGGAACACAAACACATATATTTTTATACTGTATGTGCATCAGTACTCATTATTGGTGCGTGATATTTCAGATATTTTTCACCCCTAAAGACCTATGCAACAATTTGAAAAGTATTATAACGCTTTTAGTGATTCAACGCAAAATACCGTTTCGAAAATAATAGCCCTTCTGGGTTAACACTCCTTTGGGATAATAATAAGAACTGCTGAAAACTCGAAATAGCCTCGTATGCCATTATTTAGCCATCGCTGATTTTAGAATATACAGTACTGAAAATGCAAAGTAATTACTTTTCACGTGTTTGAGTTATGCCTATTAAGCATGCAGTTACTTAGAAATGTTGCCCGTCATGTGTTAATGAACGATCTTTTGTCACTAAATTAAACATACTTGTTTTCCCAATTTCAGAATCTTCCAGTTTATTATCGTACGTCAAATTTATATAATTTTGGTGTCCTTAAAAAGTATAAATCAATAGATCTATATCAGGGAGGGGCAAACTACGGCCCCCAGTGCAACTCCGGCCCGCGGATAGAATTTTAATTTCCCGGTCCGAGGCAAATTAAAAAAATATATATTTATATATTATATATCCATCTTCTTTTCTAATTTGTTTAAATATTTCTTTTTTCCTCTTCCCTTTTTTCAAAGAACTGATGATCTTTTTACTTTCTCTATATGCAAGGGAAAAATCAATTTATCGGCGATATATGGGCTCATCTCAAAGCTTTTAAACTAAAACTTTTATCTGTTTGCTGGGCAGCTAACTAAGAACGACTTGTCTCATTTCCCGAGGTTAAATTCAATACCCTCAGTAAATGAAGAAACTGCATTTTGAGTTCGAAACGCAGATTTCAAAGATTTCAGTGCCATTTAAACAGAATTGGATATTTTTACCGTGCGCAAATTGTGAACGTAAATTGTGAAGCTGTGAGGTCAGATTTGCAGCTTGAATTGATTGAGTTGCAATCTAACAATCATCTCAAGCAGCTGTTTCTAAATGTATCAAAGTTAGAGGTTTACAAATCTTTATCGAAAGTAAGTTTCCCAAATTTAATATCTCACGCCCAGAAAATCAGTGCTATGTTTGCTTTATTTTATATACGTGGACAAATGTTTTCAGCTATGAACCTTAGAAAGAATTATTTCAGAAGTAGACTGACACAGGAGCATTAAGCCTCGTTCCTTAGATTCAGTCCATCTCACTTCGAACCTCAATATAAGGAAGTTTTTAAAATGAAACCTCGATTTCATTCATCTCATTAACACAGTCAAATTTTATTACTTGTATATTGGTTTTAAAATTTCAGAAAAATTTATCTTGGCCCGCCAAACTTTCTTTTTTTTGATTTTTGGCCCGCGACCGAAAATATTTGCCCATCCCTCATCTACGTCATGCACACATCATATAATATGAAATTAACATATGAATACCACACTTGACAAAACTGCATATAAACAATATGAGTAATGCTTAAAAATTTCTTTAAAATGCTCAGTTACCATTAAATTTTCATTTGGTTTTGCTGTTAACAATGAACTATCTAATTAATAAATATAAATCGTGATTTATCAGATGTGTTTCCTCGAATATGATTAAAGCCTTTTGAGAATCAAGTAAGAAGTGATACTTCAAATGCATTAAAAATATTTCTGTTCTTAAAATGGGTGTCATTTGTATTTGCATTTCTGTTAATGATTTGAAAATATTTTGGTTAACTGTAGCTAACTTTATTAATAAGCTTTTAATGTATTACAGACTAGCATACCATTTAACGTGAGTTATACTCAAGCATCTTGCTTGGAGGAAAATTGTGCGGTAAGTATAACTAACATTTACTATTTGCGAATAACAACAATCTCAATAACTTTAATTTCCTTTTAATCTTTTCCTTTCTAAGGTTACTTCATGTTAATTAATCAATTATTTTATGTTTTCGATCTTTATTGTCACTTCTCCCTTCCGTTTTAGATCCAAAATGCAAATTATTTCATGTGTATTTATAGTGAGGTTTTCATATTGTAAAACAGAGCGTGTTTTTAATCTCGAGGCCACGTTACTGGAATTATTAGATAAGATAAGATTTGTAATCTTCGGCCTTGCATTATAATCGTCGATAGTTGAATTCTACGCCGGTTACGTTTTGAGCCAAATTCGCGTTAAATTGATTTGTGTAGCCTTTGGCTACTAGCTTATTTGAATTTAAATTTTACATTTGAGTTATTGTATTTAAGTTATCTCTCTCTACATTACTGCATTCAAACTTCAGTTGTTAATTCAGACTTATCGATAATTCACTGCCAGTCTTTCTAACGTTTACCTGCGGTTTACGGTTTCACAGAAAATATCTAAACTTTACACCTTAACAATTTAAATTTTGGAGAAGTTAAACAACAAGAATCAGAGTAATTTTTGTAAATTTTGCAGCACTTGTTTCAATGGCTTAAATACAGAACTAGCTTCTTCAGCTGCCTAAGTGAAAATCTTAGGCAGCATGCACTTAAGCAGTTGACACTAATCTTTCGCACTTAGGCAGATGAAGAAGATGATTCTCTATTTAAACCATCAAAACTAATCCTGCAAAATTTACAAACGTTACGCTAATTCCTGTTGTTTAACTTCTAAAATAATCGTTATTCGGCGTGTTATTTTAACCTAAATCATATAAGTTTTGTTTTTTCCTTGTTTCTTTTGTTCCGTGCTTTTGTTCCCTGAAAATTATATATTAAACGACTACTTTTTTGCCTGCCCGAAGAAAAGGAAGTATTGTAATCATGAAAAATTCCGCGTATCATATTTCAACGAAAATATCCATTTCAACCGTTCTCGAAACCCTTTGAACGATATTTTTACGTGATATCTGTGCGAATGAACAGAATAAAGGACTGTTTTCGCCAAAAAGAATTCCAAATAGATTTAAAATGGGTTCAGAAGAGATTTTTTTTCCCTTCACGCCTTCACGACACGTACGTACGTACGTGTGTATGTACCCCTATAACTCAAGAACGAATAACCGCAGAACATTGAAATTCGTATATGGGACTGCTATAACATGCAGTTGTGTACCTCCCTTTTTCGTTGCAATCGGCTATACCAAATTGTATATAAATATATACATATTCACCCTCTGTTACCTGCCTCGGTGAGCTTAGTATTTTTATTCTTATATACTAGTAAATTGTGCAATTTTTGCGTTAAAAGTGATTAAATTGTGGGACTTTTATGTTCCGATTAGGGCCTTTCGTTATTCTGCATGCAATAGTGGTAGAACTATCAACAATTTAAGAGTTTAAGTTGAGCCTAACGAAGCCGCCATTTTTTTATATTTGAAACTTAGTAGTATAGAGTAAGTCAGTTTCTGCCCCAACTTCAGTATCTTTTTGTCGAGTGGGACCAAAGGTAAACTTTCAATTTTGTGCTCTGAAAAATCTGTCTTCCCTATCCGCTGGCCGAATTGCTTGTTTTGCGTAGAAAGTCTAATTTTAATCGTAAAAATTTGTTTTTTTAACTGTATTTGGTGTTTTGAGAGAGGTGTAATGTTTTGAGTTTTTATGTACATTTGCCTTGCCGCGAAGGAAGGAATTAAACTGATTGAATGAGAAATATATCTTTAACGAAATTCGAGGTAATAAATTTAAGTGGAATACAGCAAAAAATGTGTATAATTTATAATAGGACGTGCAAGGAAATCATGTGGTGACCACATAAGACATTTTTAAATAATTATTGCCTAAGTATAATATGGCTCAGAAGAATGTATTTTACATAGCTTTTCCATCAGTATAAAGTATACTGTGAATTACTTTTATAAATTAATTACAAGTTATTTTATACATTCATTAATTACTGCATTAAAATTTCTTCTCGTCAGAAATTTTAACAAACTTTCTTCAGGCGGCTTAATTTATTTCTTTGTTTAGAAATTCGAAGCTGAGTCCGTTAATTTTTAAACACTTTTTGAACATTTTCTTAACTATCTTGCTAAATACCTTAAACATGTTATTTACGATGCCGGAGGAAAGTTAATTATTACGCCTGAGGAAAATTAATCTTATTTACTCTCATATTGCTATAGCTTTCGAAAGCTTTATAAGCAGTATAATAATTCATGAAATGTTTTTTTTTTTTTTTACTCATCGCTTTCGTTTAGTTGTTAAGCTACTAATTATTTCTTTATTTCTTATATATGCCTTGTGTTGAAGCAGCAGAAAATACCATTTTTAAGCCACAATTCTTATTTTCTATATCTCAGATAAAGGCTAGATATAGTTTTTTATAAATGTTCTAAGAATGTTAATTTTTGATATTGAAAAAATGAAGTTTTTCTCCAGTTTTTACTTTACCGTGCTTTAATTACCAATTTAATGCCGTAAACTTGCCCAAAAACTCCTATTCATATAAAATGTGATTTATTTTCAAAGCACTTTTCGCTATCGTGATCCTTATAGTCTTAATTAAATACTCGCAATCTTTTATCCAAGTATGAATTTTCGAATCATTTTCATGATTAATTCTTTACTCTTCTTTTCCAGCTGCACGTCACAATGCCTTTGCATCATACATTTTCCCTAAAGATAAATATTAAATTTCATTGAATTAGTATAAAACTAATTATGTTTTCTTTAAATAAAAAAGCTGTATTTATATAGCTGAGTATTATTCTTCAAGAGTAATTTCCTGTTCCTCAAAGTTTATATTTCTAATGATCAAGAAATGTATTTTTTCTGAAATAATAGTGCACAGATTAACAGAATTCCATCTTCTCTATGATACGTTTATTCTAAAGCAGATAAATTCCTTGGGATAAAAAGGTCGCACAAAATAAATATTTTGATATGAAAGATTTGCGTTTTTACAGTCAGAGTGAACTTGTGTGTAAAGGAAGCTATTTTACCAGTAGTCATCTAAAAATTAAAACGAAGTTTCAAAAAGTCAGTGTAGTTGTGTTACTTTTAAAATAAATTGCTTAGTTTATAGTAACATTCATTATTTCTCTTAGCAGCCTAAATATATGGCAAAAATTAATAGCATTAGATTTTAAAATATAAATAACATAAATCCCTTTCTAACAGCTGCAACTACGTCATTGATACATTATACGTACGGGAATATAGCTTTCTGCAAAGTTTATTTTGTATGGACAACATGTGTTAGGTATAATTCGGATTAAGAAAGTATATATAATGTAAACAAACTTAAATATCGCTGTAATTAAATTTAAAAAACGAAATGAATGTTAATTGAAAGGACTTTATTACTGCTTAATAAGTTTGGGATACAAATATTATTTTTTTAATAATCTATTGATTTTTGCATGGGGTAATTCCTGACACAACTCTCTAAAACTTTCGCGGTAATCAGCGCAGTTTTTCAGTGCCTCTCATAAAGTTCCCTACGCTTTCTTAATTTGAAGCAATCTGTAAAATCAGACAGTTCCTCTGTCTTTTTACTTCCTTGTACGAAGTAAAGGAAGTATTGTAAAGGAAGTATCACGAAAATTTTCGGGTATCTTATTTCTACAAAAATATCCATTTTGACCGCTATTCTTAAATTAATTTAATTATTTCAAACTATTTAAATAAATTTTCTGGATTTAAAATGGATTCAGAAGAGATTATTTCGTGTCGTCTGTACGTGCATATGTATGTATCTCGCATAATTCAAAAACGAGTAGCCTCAAAAGTTGAAATCTTGTACATAGGACTGCCATAATATGTAGTTGTGCACCTCCCTTTTCGATTGCAATCGGACACACCAAAAGGGTATATATAGATATATAATTTAAGAAAGGAGAAGAAACTAAAAAAGACATGTGCGGTCAAGAATTTTGCGCATTGAGCTGCAAAATTAGAAAACAAGGTAAAAAGGAAATTCTACATGCTATTGTTTTTAAAGCAAAATGTAATACTATGGTTCCCGTGAATAATTTTTAACACTAAGTTAAAATAAATTGCAATTAAAAGTTAAAGTAAGTTAAAAAAGTTATTAAAAGTACAAGAAAAATGAAATTATTACAAGAAAACTGACAAATAAAATGTGAATGTAAAACTCAAATCAAATTGGAAGTTAAAAAATGTTGATTAAAGTTTTACAATCCTTAAACATTTTAACATAAAAACAAAAGTTATTGAAGACATAAGCAAAAATACTAAGAGGCGGTAAATGGTAAATTAGCCTAATTCGAATCTCATTACGGACTCTTCAGAGGAAATGCACAATGATCTTCGAATCCAGCTAATTCCATATCGCGTTTCGTCAAAACAGAAGAATTGAGACTGAACACGAAATAACCTTTTGACTATTTAACTGACAAAAGAACCTATTAAAACCTATTAACCTATAAAAATTATTATATATATATATATATATATAAGATAAAAAATATGAAGGCAAACTTCTAAATTTAATTGGCTATAACCTCTTTTATTTTTCCTTTAATTTGGGGACTTCCTCTCCTTGTCTAAAAATAGCGCCATAAGTCTAAACTGCGTCATTCAAATTAATCATGCGATCTTACGTAACCCCTAGTGCAGATATCTCTTGCCGAATCAAAATAATTGTAAGCCAAAACTAACTCGAACTGAAACGTTTCGTCTCCCTCCCTTATTTCTCTGAAGTACTGCGTCACTCTTCCTCTTCTTGCGCACGCTTTCATCCTGTTAAGACGCTGCAGCAATCTTATATGTTCGCTTCTATCTCAATAGTATTAAAATTGTTCTGGAAATAGGCACGATTGGAGCGAAAAACTAAGTAAATTAAGCGAATTGTGGCCACAAAATGTGAATTTAAATAAATATGGAATTTAATCCGGCTTAAATGCTTCTTCTTCCAAATGGATAGACGCTCTAAGCATCAAGTATCTTCGCACTTAACATTTCTACGCATCTGACGTCGCAGTGTTCTACATTCAGTGCTTCCAAAATTGTGCTATTATTACATTTTTAGCCCGACAGGGTTGGGTTACGTTCTACTAACTTCAATGGAACATTAATTCCTCAGTTGGAAATTGTGCTGTTATTGCCTTTATAATCCGATAGGATTGGATTACGTGCTACTAACCTCAGTGGAACATTAATTCCTCAGTTGGATTTCTTAAAATAGTATCTGCAAATTGTTCCGGTTAAGGTTTTTATGCCTTTAATTAATCTGCATGCAATAGTTGTAGAAATATTAATAATTTAAATGTTGTTTGAGCCTAACTTAGCAGCCATATTTGTTTACATTTGAAACTTAGCAGAATAGTGAATTAAATCAGTTTTTGCACCTTCGGTGTCTTTTTGCCGAACGAGGCCAAAAATAAACCTTCAGAATTGTGCACCAAAAAATCTGCCTTCTTGCCCGCTGGCATAATGACATTTTTTTGCTTAGAAACTCGAATTTTAATTGTAAAAATTGTTTTTTAATTGTTTTAACTGTATGTGTTGTTTCATGTTTTTCTATATTTTTCAATTTTTAATAATGCTATTTTAAGTTTTTATGCATTTTTGCCTCGCAGCAAAGTGAGAACTGAATTACCGTATTTGCTGATGTATAAAACACTCCAGCCTATAAGATGCTCCTTTTTTCATACTCACTTTTGAATGATAAATTTTTTACTACTGATCATTATAATGAATTTACAGTATTTTAAATATAAAATGATAATTTAAATCCTCTTCCTGATTCAACCAAGTTCCTATCATTTTCTCAGTTGGTCTCTCTACCCGAAATAAGTTGGCTCCGAAATGCCTCTCTCCAGCTCTGTTTCCATGTTCTTTAGCATACGCAATCACACGTAGCTTGTACGCTATGTTAAATCAATGCCGAAGTTTTTTGAGCCATAACTTGCAAACAAATTTAAGAAAACTGAACAGTATAAATTTCATACACTTGAAAGTCGTTCACAAAAATTGGAAAGTTTAATAAACGAACCCAACTGTTATGACAGCGCATGCGCACTCATTGAATTCTACGTAACTAATATTCCCACACTCGGCAAGGAAACAAGGAAAATATCATAAAACTCCGAAAAGAGGAAATTTTCAGAAATGAATATAATCAAAAATGGATTATAGTCATATAAGACTCAGTGTCGACGTATAAGACGCACCCCTACTTTCAAAGAAAAACGCGCGTCTTATACGCCGTCAAACGCGGTAATTGAATGAGAAATCTATCTCTAATGAAACTCGAGGAAATAAGTTTAAATGAAAGGCAACAAAAAATGTGTATAATTTAATATTCCGTACAAGGGAGTCATGTGTTGTTTAATCAGATTTTGTATTTGTTGTTGTTGAAAAGTTATGCTTTTTTACCACCATAAAGTCTTTAGCACTCCAAGATATGCCTTATACCTGAAGCTCCGAGATATGCCTTATACCTGAGCCCTTATGCAGAGAACACCGGCCCTGATTCTGACAGCATTTCTTAACGATTTTGTGTCTTTCATGTCTATTAAATCGTGCAGGATACCTATCAAACTAATTTGCACTGATAAAAAGAATATATGCATCATTTTATAATTGGCCATTCTTTCCCATTTTCTTTGTTTCAAGGATTAATTATCTGCAACAGACTTACAAACATAGTTGAAATGTTGGAAAATAGATAAATGCACTATATTGCCAAATGCACTATTTTTTTACTTTAAAACTTCCTATCTATAGCAATTCTACGGCTAATTTCTTTGTCATTATGTTTCTCTTAGCAAAACAAAAAAAAATAATTCATGTTTTTTTCACATCTTGAACATTCAGATATCATCTTTGAATTCAAAGATCTTCTTTATGTTTTGTTTGCAAGCAAAAATATTGTTAAATTACATTTATTTTATATTTACATAATGAAACTAAGAAGCGTATTTATACACTGAGCAAAGAAATTATTGTTTATTGTATTATTTTTTCCTCGTAGATAAATTATCCCCAAGGAACACGAAGCACTGATTTTCGAGTAAAAAGGCAGGCTCCAGAATTTACAAGAAATAGCTCCTTAGGCTCTGAAACTGTTCCTTCAACAACCAGACCTTCACAAAACTTACTACAAACTGGCGGTAATGGCTCTGTATCTGGTGTAACTCATTCTCCTGTTTCTACAACTTCATTCCTTCAACATCATGAGGAAACTACTGAGAACAAAGACACAAGAGACCTACCAGTGGGTGAAACTTCAAGCCATGCTGAAACGCTAGACGAGACACCAGTTTTGCAAGGCCTTGGAGATGACGACACTGGTGAAGAAATTGCGAGCGTGGATGAAGACCCTTCTGAATCTGTAGTGGAGGAAACTGTGCTCATCAATGGTAGAGAGTACAGAATAACTCGTCATGAAGTTGTATTTGCTGTAGCAGAAGCTTTTGATGATTTCTGAAAACAGATTTTTATCATCAGCCGAAACTTCCATGAATATGTATAATTCAGTTAAATGATTATTTTACATTTTGTATCTTTAATAATCGAAGTTTCACGGAACAGAAATAAATGTTGCGTGTTCAATATTATGTTTCTTCTTTGGCAACTTTTCAGGAATTCTTAATATTAACTGAATATCTAACAAAATGTCTATAAACTACTTATGGTTTTACTCCTATTTGGACTACACAGTGACTACATAATTTTGTTTTATGTAAGACAGGCTTGATTTCTATTATAAGGTTAAATCCAATTCGATTTGTGATTAAATACTGGTCTAACCTTCTAGACTGCCGTATGAGTTCTCGTTCCATTTTTATTTATCAACGCTAGAACATTGAGTAAATACAACTGCATAAAACAACTGAAGATTTATTTTTTATTCAGCTTAAAATGTAGAAAAAAATGAAACAAACAAGTTAAACTTTCTGCAGGATTGATAGACAACTGAAATTACATTATTTACATGACAAAAAGATTACATTTAGAGGCTAGCCACTTGGCTTTGTTATTTGCATGCCTAAAGTTTTAATCAAATGAGAAACTCGTCAGCTATTAGCATAAACTTCAAGGCAAACAATAAGCAGAAGAATTTCATTGTGGCCTGCTGATGTTGCCAAATCTGTCTCCTAAACTTAGATGTCTTGCTTTTATTTAAAACTCTTCTCAATTACATATTCTGGTAGAGTAGACGAAACAATAGAAATCTATAATAGATTCTAATTCAAGAAATAATATATCAAACAAAGTAAATCTACCAATACCAGTAATTTAATTGACGGCAAATATTAAATGAAACTGAAAACATCTTTCTGAAAAGCATGTAAAGTTCTGTGTTAATTAATCAGTTATTATAAACTGAATCTTTACTATAACTTCTTCTTTCCGTAGTTCTCACCAGCATGCAAATTAGTTATTGTGAATTTATTAAAGTGTTTGAATGTTTATCTGGCGTCCTCTTCTTACTGTTACTAATTATCGCTAATTATCTTGTGCCAGCTTAAGTAGTCTGTGGTGTGTAGTGTCACGTATTTATGGTGCACTTACTAAACCACGCTATCTCAATTAGATTGTTATTATTTTGCTATATCTTAATATTTTGCGAATTAGTATTTATTAATTTGTTATAGTTAAGTATGTCTAAGAATCATCCTGCGTTTTCTTCTTAACAAGTCTTACATATGCCCTTACTTTTCTCTTTAGTTTTCGTTTATTTCAATCCAGCAACGATGTAATTATTTTTATGTATATTTTAATGAGTCGACTGTAGTTCTAAACCTTGGTAACATAGTCTTTCCAATTTAATTATTATACTTTTCTGTGTACTCAAAACTCCATTAGTGGTTTATTAATTGCATGGCATCGTATTTTCCTCCGTTTTCCTCCCCTCATATACTTTTTTTTTTACTAATAGGATTTTCAGCTACCATACTTCGCTGCATAAATAAACTAGCATATTCCCCACAAATAGTCCCCACCCAGTCGCTCTGCTTTATATCTCATTCCCTTACTCCTACGTCTCTTCTATTGGCAAGGTAAATGCATTCAGCACCAGGACTGGTCTTTCACGACTCCTGAAAATACATACTCCTTCATTTCCGCAAATAGCAAACGTAAGTTACAATTGTATTTAATAAAACATTTCATAACACTAATAAGGCATGTTCCTTATCTCAGTTCATAACCATCATTCCTTTACCGGTTATATGACTCGTTATTCAGTAGATATATCATCTTTGTATTACCATGAAAGGACAGGCGCCAGACCAAGGGAGCAAATAATGAAGCTCAATTTTATAAAATAGTTCTGATAATGGTGCTTCATGGCCAAGATGCTAATTCTAGATAGTGGATAGCTGCTCCATTAGCAATGTAAAAGTATGTTCCCTTGGTGGTTCTGGTCAACCTACGGACAAAGAACATTTAAACACGCTCACTGCACTCTGGAATCAATATTTTTAATTCTGTCACCAGAAGCAAGTCGGCTAATTAGTGCTAAAATCCGAGCATCATAAGTAAATAAGTAAGTAGATTTAAATAACCAGTTTGACGAAACTTGAAAGATATTGTTCTTGCTCTGGAGTTATGAATGTTGATGGAGGCTATTTCACAAAGGCGTAATGTTCCAACTTCGTTCCTTAACTTCTTCTGGGAAGGGCTTATCAAGCCAATTAATACTAATTTATGAATCCCATTCAAACTGAAGTTGTTTTATTTCAAAAGCGTTTACAGCAAAATCAAGCAATCGTTTAAATTTTCCGCTTCCATTGCCGTGTATAAACTTACTTGACTGGATTTTTTAAAATCACTTTATCGTAGTTTTTTTAAAATGAAGTATTCATTGTGTGAAGCATTAGAAGCCATTTTTGCATCTGTCCTTGTGGTCTAATGATCGCATCGCATTCAGTTAACAACTGCTTAAGTCTGTATGTTTAAAACAACTGCTTAAGTTTATATGTATGAAATATGGAAAGCATTGGTATGTCATTTCAGAAAAAATTCGATTTTATGTCAAAATATCTGTTAGAACAATGCTATATACTACAAATCTAATATATATCCTAAGTCGCGCTTTCGAGACATGAAAACTCCAAGTTACATTTCGTAAATCAGCCCAGCAGAACGGAAGATATAGAACTATCTACTTTTGTGTGTGTGTGTGTTAAAGCTGTACTTCCATAGAAAAATATTATAAGGGAGGTCAAACCATGTGACTTCGGGAGTTGCTAAATACTTTCTCTTCCTGCCTGATTTCGTGAAAACTGGTTATTCAAGAAATTTCTAACGTTCGAAGTGCAAATATCCTGAATTTTAGATAAATGAGAAGTGCTCTAGTAATTTTGCAAACTGTCAAAACTTGAAGGATTTCCTTTTCAAAACAAAAAACTTTGCTCCTGGTTCTGCAGCTAAATTTATTAAATTTCTGACAGATACTTATTCGGACAGGTTGTGTAATATAAATCTGTCCACTTGAATATAAATCCTATATTTCGTATAACATTTGATGGATACTCCTATTTCTATTCTTCGCTTTCCTTTAATATTTAAATCTGTGCACGATTTTGACGAATAGTTTACCCTAGTTTTTAGAATACTGAATTTGTAACACATTCTGGGGCTAGTGTTGTTTAAAACATAAGACACGTACTACAGTTGATCACATATTTATAATTTTTTATACATCAAAGCGATTCTAAATTTTATATTTTATGACATTCAACGTTATAAAGAATGCAAGAAAAAGAATTTCATTCTCTTAAGAAGATTGATGGAGGCAGTTTTAACAGGGTAAGTTCAACAAATATACATGAGACATGAATATGCCTTAAAATGGCCATAAGGGTTTCTTTTTAACTGCGAAAAGCGGATTTTATTGTCATTTAAAATTTTCAAAAGCAGGCAATATTTCGAAATGTTTCAAGTCATAAGCGAACTCTTTTGTTAAGAGTGATTTCATGTCAATTACAGTTTCAGCAATTAGCTCATAAAATTAGTAATCCTTACAACTCCTATTAGCAAGTTTGAGTATCATGTGTATGCGCAAGTAATTATTTTTCCTTACAAAAAACGGTTTATTTAAGTGAATAAGAGCACTAGACACTGGTAGTTGAATGCTCCATGATTGTTTTCGTAGTTTTTTATATGCAGCGTGAATACAAATCAGCTCCTTTAAAATGTTTTCTGCGAAAGCCCAGTCCCTCCTAGAAGAATAATACTCAGGTACTTTGCCAGAAAAATAAAAAAATCAATTTCTATTTTTATGGTACTTCATACTGCAGGAAAATGAAGAAATTCAGGAAGTAAGAAGAAACCAAAGCTAGATTATTAAAATTTATAACAGCAAAGTGTTCAAGCGCTATCTGAATTCATGAGCATGCTTTCAAGAGGAATTCACGAAGAAAACTAGCTGGCAGTGAAGTTACATATAAAGAGAGCTAAGCAAGTTCCATGCAACCCGCCAGCTCAGCAGATGCGAATGGTGTCCGTCGGAAGCATTGCGGCAAAAACATCGCAGAGAAAACAACGCAAGGCGAAATCATTGACATACAAAAACATCGTCGATAAAAAGAAAGCAAAGAAAAAACATGGCAGCTCTAAAATATGGTGGTATAAAATACCTTCAAAAATATCCCAATTTCAAAACATCGTTGCTGAAAATATCGTGGTAAAAAAATAAAACATCTGCAAATCATCGCGTTGCAGACATGTGTCTTCAGGTTTAAACAGGCAAAAATATCACAAACGAAAACATCGTTAGAAAACAACGCAAGGCGAAAACGTCGTAGGAAAAAAATGTGGGAGAAAAGAAAGCAAAGAAAAAACATTGCAGCTCTAAAACAGCTTGATATAAAATATCTTCAAAAATATCGCAGTTTCAAAAATCCCCGTAAAAAATATCGTGGTAAAAATACAGTATCTGCAAATCATCGCATGATGATAACATCGTAAACAGTTTCAAAAGTTGTAAATGTATATTCGCATAATGATTTGTGAAAGTTGGAAGGAGTGAAAAAAATCTTTGCCTATACGTTTTATATTTTTTGAAAAACAAATTTTTGATAAAAATGGAAGAAGGCAGCTTAAGGATTCAAAAACTGAAAATGAACAGAAAATTAATGCTACGCTTAACAGTTAAAGGATTTTTACACGTATGTAGTTAAATATTAAAACTCATATACAATTAATCGCTTTTTAAAACTGTACTGATAGTTTTTCATAAAAAATGTAGTCTAAAAAAAGGATTAGAAAAGGGACGATGAGTAACTACCTGAAGTTACCTATATTAGAATTGTTTAATTATTTATGGAAATGTAAAATAATTTTCTTTCACTGATATTCTTTTTTAGACTAAATTTTCCATAAAATACTCCAATGCAACTTTATAAAAGAGATTAATTAAATAATGGCCTTTAAGAGTTGACTACCGAAGTCTGAAATTCTTTTTATTAACTGTAGTGCGTAGGATTAATTTTCTATTCATTTTCAATTTTTGAATGCTTAAGTTCCTTTCTTGTTTTTCTAGCAAATATTTATTAGGTATATAAGGTATTTCTCCCACCTTCCTAGCCTGCCTTCTTGGTGTAGTGGTTCTGCACGCTGGGCTAGTATTCCAGAGGTCCGTGGTTCGATTCCCGGCGAAGACGTTTGCTCATTTTTCATGTCTCTGAGTTTTCCAATTAACCTAATATCTCTACAGGTAATTCAAAAATATAAAAATATGAAATATAGAGATAAAAATATTCCTCATTCCTTCCAACTCGCATATATGATTATGCAAAAATACATTT